ACAAATGTATACACATACCTGTGTATAGACACAAACGTACATCATATATATATATATATATATATATATATATATGCAGGTAAACATACATATGTAGCGTGAACTCCCAGCCCTAAACCCTAAACCCTAAACCCTAAACCCTAAGCTATAGAGAGCTACAGTTTGTTTCTGAAGAATGTTGTTAGGCTACGGCGGATTTGCTGTCTGACTTCAACGCCGCCGTTTTGCCCTCAGACTGACGCCCCAAGGTAAACCAAACCCTAAACCCTAAACCCTAAACCCTAAACCCTAAACCCTTTGCTCTCTCAAGCTCTCAGTCTACCTACGCCCTGAAAACCCTAAACCCTAAACCCTACGGATAAAGTCGTAGGCCTCAAACCCTAACCTTGAACCCTCTATTCTAAACCCTAAACCCTCATATCGATGTTTTTCAGGTGGAGACGGAGCTGCTGGCAGCCTTAAGGGTTTAGAGTTTAGGGCATCGGCAGTAACTACTGCTGCATACTTTCGAGATGAATAAAACAGAATTGACTCAGCGCATGCATGCAGCCGTCTGGTGTGGGGCCTTTCTGCGGTGTATGTACACCCGAAAACCCCACAAATGCAGCATGAAGCAGAAAAAGAAGCCAACGAAACGAGAGGAAAATAAAGCAAATAATAAACAAGATAGAGACAGATATCTTCACATAAAAGACCTAATAATAACTAATAATGTAAATACGTGCCTTCATATAAAATAAATAACAAGAGATAATAAGATATAAATAAAGTCCTCTGTTCGAAAAAAAACAGGGTAAACCAACTCAGTGGTCTATGGGCATTTTAAAAAGACAGCCGCAAAATCTGAAGATCGAATGGCGCAGCAAAGACTGCTCTATCCGGAGGCTGTTGCTTCAGCCTTCAATGGTCCATTGGTCCAATGGTCCAATGGTCCATTGGTCTGTGTGAAGAAGTGGCTACAATCGACTACCCCGTCTACGGGGCTCCTCAAAGGGACCTTACTGCATGCAGAACTTAAGGCGTACAACGAAATAAATGCATGCGAACACAAACAACAAACAACACACACAATAATATGTCGATCGGCCATGAAACCCTTATACCTATGCAGGCATGCATGCATGCATGCATGCACTATAGGTATACCTGCATGCATGCATTGGTGCAGGCATGCACCTATGCATGCATGCAGGTATTGTTAGATGCATGCATGCATGCATGCATGTACAAGTGCGTTGACGTGCACTTGGGGCTGTTTCTCAAAACCTTCTTCATTTCGGGTGTATCGACAGCCCAAGCAGATCGGCAGATTTCTGCTTTGTCGCCGCTCTGCTGCACTTTTTAATTTGTTTACGTCAAACGGGGCACCGCCTCTTCCTTCGTCTCTGTACCATTTTCTCCATCAGGTAAAGGCTTCGGCTCCGGAGGAGAATGCGGCTGCTGCAGCATTTTACATACATACAAATACACGTTATATTTATCACTCTATAGTATATATATATATATATATATATATATTTAAACGAATATAAATATCATACACACATATTTATACATATATATAATATATATGTATATATATATATATATATATATACTTGTATATGCATGCATGTATGCATGTATCATACATATATGTGAATAGGCGTGTATATGTATATGCATACTCATATCATATACACACAAAGAAATGAATAAACAAATATATAAATATATATGGATCCTTATAGTGTGCACGCATATATAAAATTTATATCTAAGTCTTGCAGCGAGGATAACTGTGTAGCATTTTGTTTGTGTTGAGTAAAACAGAGAGCAAAGAGGAGGCATCCGAATTTATATTGTTTCCACCACATTTCCTAAGGCATTCAGCCACTGCATGCATGCAGCTGGAATGTATGAATAAGCAATGCCTTTTAGATGCACGGGGGGCACATGCATGCGCGCATGCAGATAAAAGTGCATGCACTGCATGCAGAGATGCAGCACAACTTACAACTTTCGTTGCTAGAGCCTTCAAAAGCCAAGCAGTAACGAGTCCTATAAGGCGATCTGCCCCCGAGTGCTTGGGTACATAGTGGCTCCATCCGCATAAATATAACAAGTCAAGCTTAACTGGGGTTTCATATAACTTAAGAGGAGCATGGAAATCTACTGTCTGGTCATGAGTGCCTTGTAGACAGAGCAGCTTCAGCTCAGGGGGAAAGCAGCTTAAAATTCGGGGTATTTTCCTCGAGGCATCGAATAAAGAAGCCACCATTCTTGCTTTAATCCTTCCTGAAGCAAAAAACAAAAAAATAATTCATGAATTTCATACAAGTTTCCCTTTATTCCGTTAGTATAAGGGTAGTGCACAGCTACGGTGAGGTGTACGTACACCTCAATTGAACGGGTAGTGAATATTCGGTGTACGTACACCTCAGTTGAACGGATTGTGAATATTTTGGTGCATACTTTACTCACCAGAATATGTAAATGGATCTCTGCTGTACCACCACCCTAGGTAAGGGCAATCTCCGCTGTTTTCTGCCCTCGAAAATCTTAAGTTTGGAAGCCATGATGAAATAAGAGATCTGTTTATTCTGACCATAAGTTGTGAAGCCCAATCAAGTTTAATTTGTATAAGAGGTGCGAGTAGTACAGCTTGATTAACTCTTTTTCTAAGGGCAGCTTGCTCTTTCTCGTTGCTGTATATACGACCCAGGGTTTGAATTACTACGTTTCCCCCCATAGAATACCCCAAAAGTATAATAGGAGCTGTTGAAGGCAAGCTTGCATCTGCACTTACAACCTCCTTCAGAAACTGAAGAGCATCATCTACGAAATAATCAAACTTAGGCACATTGCACCGCCACTGCCTCCACCCCTCTGAACGCCCGTGAGATTGGTGGTCCATAGCATACACATTCATCTTCAGGCCGTACAGAGCCTCTACCCAACTCCCTGATCAAAGCAAATGCAAAACACATACAATTCCTTTCTTCATACTCTATAGAGTATGCACATTTATTTGTATTGCAACTGTCGTGCTAAATATATATATATATATATATATATATATATGTATATATTTAGCATATCAGAAGCTCATCCAAGCTAAGCACGTATGCTGGGCAATACGGGAAAGCGGTATTTCGTAGAGCAGCAGCATGGAGTGTATGTGCACCCAGTGCATTATATGAAGCACTCACAGCTGAGAAGACCTACCACGAAACTTAGGCACCCAGTTGGGCTCTTCCTGCAGCTGCTGCGGCGCCTGACCGCTGCTGCTGCAGTTGCCGTTGCTGCTGCTGCTGTTTCCGTTGGTGTTGTTGCTGTTGCTGTCTGGGGGTTGGTGGCGTAGGAAGTCAAATAGCGCATATGAGGTATATGAGTGAAAAAGTACTACTGCAGCGGTTGGAGGCTGCTGCTTCTGCTGCTGCCTCCAAGCATAAGTAGCAATCTTTAGACCTTGACTGTTAATAAAGCTGTCGGCGCTGAAGCCAGGACCCAAGTCTTCCATCGTCATATGCGGGAAAGCCTGCAGCCAGCCAGCCATATCTACATGGCATTGATTGCTGGAGGTGCGGTTCAACTTCCTGCTGCGCGGTCTGTCGTACAGCAGACGACCTGCTGCAGCGCCGCGTGCATCGTCTGCCACAAGCACCTGAGCAGCTTCTCCTGTTGTTGCTGTCGTTGCTGCAGCAGTAGCAGCTGCTACGGCTGCTGCGGGTACTGATACTCCAGGTGAGGGAACCGCAGCTGGATCGCCGCTGTGCCCAGAAACCAGAACAAGAGAAGGGTCTAAGTCAATCAGCATCGAACCAGGAGGATCATTTTCCTTGACGCTTGTTTGGGACGCCGGAAGCCCCGAGGGAGAGCCATTCGCTACCTCCGCCATCTTTAGAAACTGTGCAGGATTCGTTGGCCTCCTCGGCCCTTCGCAGTCTTCTTCATTCAATAATCATGAGAAATGTACATAAATAAAAGAAAAAGTCGCGGCAAAATGCATGCAGCTGCACCCAATAATGGCTGCCGACCATTAGAGGCGATGCTGCGCTGGCGAAGCAACGAAGCCTCGATGGAAGTTGAACGGCGGAGAAAGGCCAGTAAATTACTATAGTCGTCTGATATTTTAGTTGTTTTTCGTTTTATTTCGTGAATTTCTCTTCATTAGTGGCATTTACAACACAAACTGGACCGCATCTGGGGGCTCATCAGTGGCAGTTTCCGCTCGCCCTGTGTCGCTGCTGTACGTACACCCGGTCGGAAATTGCAATCACGGATGCCTTCTGTACATTACCGACCATAGCTGACAAACTCAATGATAATTGAGATCACCTCTGAGATGCTTCCTCTATTGTGTTTCTGAAACATGCTCGTCTTATACAACACCTGGCAGATAGCGCAAGCGCCTACACAATGCTGGGGGCGCAAGCTTTTCAGCTAACATCACGAGGTGGCAACCCCTCGAATTTGAATTCTCTTCTGCACTCCATTATCTTCTTTATTTGTAGTCAACTTAAGCGGAACAGAAATCCACGTTTCATAGCTAGTGGCCTAACAACGCAAGGCAACAGAACAAAGGTGCAAGAGATACACTCATTCCCAATATAAGCGTAGTCCTTCTGTGTTTGCTGAGGACCGTCTTGAGTTTGAATACACCCAAAAGTCTTGAAAAGCAAACTTTTAAAAGCAGCTTTTGCCTCCCCTCCAATCTCAGGTGTTATCAGCGCAACCAAGGCCCCCTTGGGGCCCCATGGGTAAGAGCAAGCGGCGTATATGCTGAGCCGCAACACTCCTTGCTGAAACTCCTGCTGCTGCAAGTTCACTCCACGTGCAAGTGCTGTCAATTCCCCTTTTGGTCGCATACAATCACTGTAGAAAATTTTCAGTAGGCTTTTTGACTATCCACCCCAACCCTGTGCGCCAGTAGAAATCCAAACTTCTGACAAAGCGTAATACCGCTGCTCTTCCCTGTCTCCACAACCAAACAAGGGCGTCATGTGCCTAACCTACTAACAAGTGCGATCTGCATGCAGCGCACTGAAGGGACTAGAACCCTAAGCACATCAACTGAAAGGGAAAATAAAAAGGGGAGTGAAGAACATGTGCAGTGGCAAGCCAACCGCCACTGAACAAACTCGGGTGGGCCAGCCTCGATGACTTTGTTGAGAATGGATTCTACGCCGAAAACTATACTAATAATGAGCGTCTTGTATCCAGCGGCTCCAAGCTAGCCATATGCAAGGGAAGGGGAGTAAACCATGCAGGAAAGTACCTAGATATATGGATATAGGAGTATATATACCCTTCTATGCAGATTATGAAGCAACATTTAACAAAAATCTTCACGAGATGCGAATGCTGAGCTGCTTAAACCCACGCCTGCAGTCGCCTACACTGAGTTGAGAAGGGTTAGTAGTAGTTCTTAAAGAAAGTGCTTTGTTTGCTTCGTTTCAGCTATTCTCAGAACCCCAATCGTGCTGTCAGCCGCACAAACAGTTAACTTTATCGTCTGGTTGTTGGTGACAGCGCTGCACGCCGTTATATCTATATCCAGGATCTCATTCTCCTGCATATTTTGTCTTTCCCCACTGACGTTGCTTTCCTTTTTGTGTTGAGTGCAAGCAAATTTCGCTGTCCCTGAAGGCTCTTAGAAGGCCGAGATCAATGAAGTGGTGGTATAGCATCTATTTCTTGGAGGTAAATATATGGTGCGAGGGAATGCGCTGAAGACAGAAAGGAGAGCAACTCGCGCTGTCTGTCCGTTACATGCCCCGCTTACCTCTAACTGACTGCTGTCGCTCTTGGAAGCTTCCGAGAGCATGCGAGCCCACTAGAAACAACTAACTTGCAATAAAAGCACTTGCTGAACTTCGCTTGTAAAAGAGATGTTAGTCTGGCGTTCCTGTCTCTTCTTCACCCACATGCACGTTGTTCAAACGCTGTTCATTTTAATCTGCCAGCCAACCCCGTGCGAACGCACCGAGTTGGCTGCTAATTAGCGGGGCCATGGTTAGGTCAGAGAAAGGTGTTTCGGTGGAGAGTGTGGAGGCGAGAGAACTGCTGATCTGATGACTGGTGTTGCTGCTGTTGCTGCTGCAAGAGGCACCCCATCCCTTCCCTGTAACTCATTATGAGTTGCTGTATGTTAAGGCCACTCAGCACAGGGGAAGAAATCAAGCAAAGTTAATGAATAGTGCTGAGTATGCAATCTCAACTACTACACAAGAATGCGGTTGGTGATGATACTCCTCTTTTTATAATTTTACTCAAATGTAGCTCGGTTAAGGAGGAAGACACTGTAATTATACTCGCAACTCTTTGCAGCATATTTACTTTGAAGGGGCTCTTAGACCTACAGACAAAGTGAGAGGTGAATCAAACATAGAGTTCAATCGCCTCTCTTAATAATATTTATTATTTTGTCTTCTGCATACTTTTTTGTGTATATACCCCCTGTTCTTGTTCTGTGTGCATTTGCTGGGAGATTTCCCCGCTCGTTCTCACAACTTGTCTGAATATTTTCTTTAATTTGATGAATTATGTTAAATTTATCTCGAGTTTTGTTCAGGGTTAAACACTAGGGTTTAGGGTTGCCTGCAAATACAGGAAGGGGAGCAAGGCCGAGACAGACACCCTGCGGTGTATATACACTCCATTTGCTCTTATTCAATTAAATATTTTTAAACTCCCTGCATATTTTAGATATTATTAATAAAAATATGTAACATCGCTCTGATACAGCTGCGGCTGCAGCCCCGTGAAGAGGGGCTGTGTTGGTTGTTTATACAGCCAAAGAGGCGTACAATAAATATTATATATTCATGAATAAAATTTTTATTTTTCTGTTTTTTGCATTATTTTATTCTTTTTTACTTTAATTCAATGCCTTTATTCCACTACCCTCTCAGCTAAACAAATCTTACAAGGGAGAGCTCCCTCTTACAGGCGCTGTCTGTCGGAAACTCCCAGCAGCAGCTCGCCATTAGAATTGTAGCTGCAAAGACAGCTGCTGCTGCTGCTGCTGCAGCAACCCCTGGGACAGCAGCACCCGCGTCGCCGTCAGCAGAAGCAGCAGCAGCAGCAGCAGCAGCAGCAGCATGTTTCTGTACTGGATAGTTATTAGCAGCTCAGGAGCGCAGAAGCTTTGCCGTTGGTTTGCCCCCTTTACTCATGAGGAGAAGGAGTGGGTGTTGCTGCAGGTGAAGCAGCAATTGCTGCTGCCGCAAGTAGCAGCAGAAGCAACAGCAGCAGTTGCTGCTGCAGCAAATCGCAGCAGCCCCCAACCTGCACCCCCTCCGAACACTTCACGAGTCTTGACGATTCCCCCGCTGCGCTGCAGCAACAAGGCGACTATCAACAGCAACAGCAGCAGCAGCAGCAGCATCAGCAGCAGCAGCAACAGGAGCAATCGTGCGGTGTATCGTCAGCACGGATCTATTTACTGCATTGTTGGAATAAACGAAGAAGAGGTGCCGCTAATCACAGGAGAAGTAATTGAGTTATGGCTGCGTGTGCTGCTGCAGCTCCTGGGTTCAAGTGCTGCAGCAGATGGAGGGGGATTAGAGGTGCAGCTGTCTATGCACCTGGAACGGGCGCTGCTGCTGCTTGATGCAATGCTGCAGCAAGGCTATTTGGTCTGTACAGACAGCGAAGTGCTGCTGAACAGAGTCCGTGAACTCCTCAAACATGATTGATCACACGCAGCAGCAGCAGCAGCAGCAGCAGCAGCAGTTGCAGCGACAGCAGAGGCTTCCGTCTTTCTTTTCTACTTCGTTTCTGCTGCGCTGAGGTCTGGGGGTTGATGGGTTCATATTGATGCCTGACGACAATTTTTAAATATTCGTTGCAGCTAAGAGACAGCAGCAGCAGCTGCTGCAGCAAACTGAATGGGTATTGAGGTGTACAGACACCTGAACTACCTGAAGCAATGATAAATAGTATTGTTTGCAGAGTACTTATTAGTATTACTTGTGTTAATCTTTTCGTTTTTACCCCTCTACAGACTCTATTATTCTCTAACAACTTATTTACTCTCATTTGCTGCGCTTCTGTTCTTAAGCCAAAAGGCTTCTATTAAACAGCAGCGCTGGAGGCCCTCATGTAGATATGTATATATAATAATGCATATATTGTATATATATTATATATATACATAGATACAGAGACAGAGAGACAGAGAGAGGCAGCATCATATATATAATATAGAATATGTATGCTCTATGTATATACACATACGTATGCATATATATATATATATATATATATATATTATGTGAATAGATGTGAGAAGAGATGCACTGCACCGAAGCAACGTACGTCAGAAGGCGCAGCTGCCGTTGCTTCTTTTTGCTGCTCTCTGCACAACAGCAGCA